TGTAACTTATATCGCGCCAAATCCACTCTGTGGAGTGCTCAAGGCGCGTGTAAACAGGAAAAAAGAAGAATCATGAAGATTGTGTTTCTATTAATTTTAACCCATTAATTTAACGAAATGAACTATCAGGAATATGTGAGAGCAATTTCATATCAATAACTTAAAAACTTCATGTTGAATTGAAAGATTTATAAAATAAGTCACTTTTGCACTATAACTGTGAATATGTAGGATTTTGCTGTTTGAATTAATAAATTTATAATAGTTCTTTTTCGGAAAAGTCTCTCCCTAATTCAATGCGACGAAGTGTTATTACGTTGCTTCCAAAAAAGGGTAAGGACCTGTTATCTCTTAAGAACTGGCGTCCAATATCGCTCCTGAACAGTGACTATAAAATTTTAGCGAAGCTTCTTTCTTTACGTATTCAAAAGGTTTTACCAAAACTGATAAGCAATGATCAGTATGGTTTCCTCAAAGGCCGTTTCATTGGAGAAAACATACGTCTATTCATTGACATTCAAAATTTCTGTAGAGCACATCATATCGAAGGCGTGGCTTTGAGTATTGACTTCGAAAAGGCGTTCGATATGATTGACTGGGAATTTTTATATTACGCTTTGAACATTTTTGGTTTTGATCAAGCCTTTATCCAATGGGTTCAACTGTTATATTTCAATATTGATGGGTGTGTAATAAACAATGGATTTTCTTCAAACCCCTTCGAAATACAGCGAGGAGTAAGACAAGGGTGCCCATTATCTCCATATTTGTTCATCGTAGCGGTCGAGCTCCTCGGCTCTTTAATTCGACAAAATAAATACATTATAGGTTTGAAAGTTCACGATATGGAGATCAAAATCAGTCAATATGCAGACGACACAACTATTTTTCTTGAGCCAAATGAACTAAATATTAAACGTTGTATGAAAGTCTTGGATGTTTTTAGAGATATGTCTGGGTTGAAAATTAACATTGAAAAGTGTAATATAATAAGATTGGGGGATTTTAAACAAATATTGTGTCGTGATATCCCATTTACATGGCCGTCGGATAATTTCATGTACTTAGGAGTTAATATCCCTATCAACAATTGCCTGAATTTTTATGAACTCAACTTCAAACCCAAACTTAAGGATATTAAAACAACCTTAAATATTTGGAACTGCAGAACCCTTACGCTTTATGGAAAAATTGTTATTATAAAATCCCTTATCATTCCAAAACTGACCTATCTCTTGAGCACTATACCCAACCCTCCTCCGTCCTTTATTGCGGAAATTCAGCAATTATTATTCAAATTTTTATGGAGTAACAAAAATGACAAGATCAAACGTTCCCTACTTTACAATGAATATAACGAAGGGGGTCTAAAAATGCTCCATTTGTCATCTTTTAATGATGCAATGAAAATTACATGGGTTAAAAGATACCTTGATTATCAAAATGAAAGTAAATGGAAAATCTTTTTGAAATCATCTCTCAAAAAGTTTGGCGGAGACCACTTTTTTAAGTGGAATATTTGTTCAAAGCACATGGTTTTTAATGAAAACATAGATCCATTTTGGAAGGATGTTCTTACTGCGTGGTGTCATTACAAGTACTATAATCCAGTTAAGTTTAAGGAAATCATTTCACAACCCTTATGGTTTAACTCTCACATTTTGATTGATGGTAAACCGATTTTTGTTGAAAGGTGGTTTAAAGAAAATATGATATATATAAAAGATATATTAAACCATGATGGGTCCTTTATACCGTTTGATCAAGTGTTACAGAAGTATGGTTCAGATTCATTTCTAACCTATTTTTCAATATTAGCTGCCATTCTTAAGAATTGGAAAGTTACTATAAAGCATGGTGACTGTAAACATGATGTTTTATTGTTGTTGAATGCAAGCGATATTCTTTTGAATGACTTCCTAAGACTGAAAAAAGTTTCAAAATTATGTTACCTTCTTTTTTTGAAAAAACATACAATTTCAATATCAGAAACAGATCACCAAAATAAATGGCAATCTGATTTATCAGTTGATTTGAACAGCTCGTTAATATGGAAAAATCGTTTCTCTTTGATTTACAAATCTTCAAATGAAAATAAAATGAGAAATTTCCAATTTAAGTTCATTCACAGGAAAATTGCGACTGAATATTTGCTATGTAAAATGGGGATTCATGAATCTCCTGATTGTAATTTCTGTGAAACCTATCCACAAACCTTATTACATCTCTTTTTAAAGTGTGAGATTGTGTGTAAATTCTGGAACGAAATATTTTCTTGGCTTAAAGATAAACAATTTCGACAAAACATGTTCTCTGAGGAAGAAATTTGCTTTGGGACTTTAATGATTATTTTATTTTATTTAGTAAACACAGTTATACTCCATGCTAAATATTTCATTTTCTCTTGTAAGATACAGAACACGATTCCCAAGTTTCAGCCTTTCCTAGTTTCTGTTAGACATTTAGAAAGAACAGAACGTATTATTGCTTTCAAAAAGAATCGTCTCGAATTCCATGAGAAAAAATGGCAAGTGTTTAGAGACTGAAAAAGTAGGTGTTCATTTTTTTTTTTAATCTCTCCTGTACTGAATGTTTGTTTTCTATATTTGCATATTTTATGATTGATTTAATTTTGATGTTTCATGCATTTAATTATTTTCTTGACATGTAAAACTTGTGAATTGTGAAATAAAGATGGAAAAAAAAAATAATAAAATAAATTTATACCCTTATTGTGCATACCGGAATTAAATATTTCACTGAGGTATTCCTCTATGTATTACCTTTCAACTGGGCAAGAAAAAAAAATTTAAAAAATAAATCACCCAAACTTAGTTTTGGCGCACTTTGGTTCCTCCCACTGTGGGGCGGGGGGAGGGGAATTGACCCGATGGTAATTTATACAATCTTTTTTTCGGCCCAAATTTGGTTACTCATATTGTTTGTACTGTATATGTGCAGTGATTTTATTTCACTACATTTCGTTAAGGTGGGATAATCTTCTGAGAGATGTGTTCCTTATTATCAATGCATAATTTGTATATTAATCTCTATGCTCTCTGTTTAAAGAAAAAAAAACGGCATTCATCTCTTTGCTTTGTTGGTCTTCATTTATTAGAAATAAATGGCTCACATTTCACCAAGACTCTGATAGAATACCTTCAATTTTTTGAGTTATTAAGGCATTTTAATGAGTATGTACTTTAGAGTTATCATTTTCGATCTTGGGTTGAGATTTGTCAAGGGCTATACATATAGCTGCTTCCTCCCAGTGCAGGCAATTATAATTGAAGAGTTTACGCTCAGATCAGTCACGTTGTCAGAAATGTCAGTTGATGACTGTTTAAAGGGAAAGTAACATGAGAATAAGCTAACAAGAAATATTAAATTGTTCCAAATAATTGTTCCATCCTAATTTTCTGATAGGTCTAAACAATTATTCATTGGGGACACAAACCCCTGTGAAATTATGACATAATATGTGTGATGAATTATGTTTGTGTTTTCTTTTGATCAGCTCACTGCGGAATCCTGTGAGGTTATACAAGAGACTGGAACTGAGAAGAGTATTCCTCAAGACGCTGATGGTGACGTAGGAATTCAGGAACGGGAACCGTAAGTTTGTTTTTTTATCAATCATCATCAAATAAAACGTAGGCCTGGTTTGATACATATTTGTATTACTGGTTATTTATAACTTGTATTTGGTAATTACACTAGCGTAAATTATATCGCTAGTACATTAGGGATTACATTGGAAGGAGGTTAAAGTAAGGGTAAGGTGGTTTAATAAGATCGCTTTCTGCATGAGTAATACTGTCTTTGCTCATTACAACAATATGGACAATTTCTTAAGATGAAAACGATGATAACGATAGAAAAGGAAAGAGAAGGGCCCGGCAAAATACACAGATAGAGAAACAGAGAGAAATAGAGCAAGAGAGGTAAAAAGAGAGACAGAGAGAGAGAAAGAGAGAGCGGGAAAGGGGGATGTCGAAAAGAATGACTACTATAGTATGAACAGCAAATATAACCAATTACCCAGTAATAATTAACATATTTCTGCTCAGAAATGTTATCTCCTCTCCAAGGACATCAGAAATGTAAACATCTTATTTTCAACCATTGTCTTTAATCATTCATTGTATACAGTCATTGCAACATGTCATGTCCCACATGAAGTTCATTTTTGATACAACGGTCGATTTCCAATTTCAGTACCAAACCTTTTATCACACTTTATGTGTGTAATTCTCTCCTGGTACATAAAACTTGGTATGATGCACTCAATTCTTCGTGAGACTCCATCCTCTATTTTATCATTCCTCTCAGTTTAGTGCATGTTTACACAACCCCTTTACTTTTAAAACTTTGAATTCAAAACGCCTATGAACACGCCTTTTTTTTTTTCATTGTTTCGTATAGCTTTTTACTATTCCTGCTAATGATGAAAATGAATTTGCCTCCATCTGACCATTTTGATATTAAATTTTGTTTAAAAATCTTACAATGTAATTTGCTAATGAAATAGCCACTGGGACTTCAACAATGATCCAAAGAGGTAGATTAATGAATAGTTAATATACGATGAGAATGTTATAATCCCAGATATTAAACAAAAGGACCCCCCCCCCCCCTCCCCACCTCTTCCTTTCTTCTGAAAATTTGACTCAGTCTTAAATGACATCCTGCAATTGTGATGCCTATACCTTCGCTTATCATTCCATTGCTATTGCTTAACATTTCATAAATCGGGTTCCAAATTGTTTTATTACATGTCAGCCTCTTTCTTTTGCAGTGGAATCCGAACAAATAAAAATGGAATTACACAATGTTTTTTACAAGTTAAAATGCTTAATTATATAATATCATTTGCATTACAACGGTAGAAATATGTCCTTTGTTGTAGGGCCAAGGGAACCGACTTTCCGCTCATCCCATTTCCAAAAGTGCCATCACAATCCAGTGTTCTGAATACTGAACACAATAAAGCACAGAGAATGCATGCTGATGAAGGGGATAGTTTTCTGTCTAATACGACTACAACACTACAATCTGGCGTAGACATAGGGGACGGAAGGACAGAGCTGTCACACGGTGCTCTTGTAAAATTGAATGCCGACACATCTGCTGATGACAAGGGCATCCAATTGGAAGAATGCACATCTCCTCTGCAGCCAGGAGAAATCATGGAAGTCTTAGAGACTGATACGAACGATGATTGGGATGCAATGTTTAACACCCTGCAGGATGAAATATCTACGAATGATGCAGGTGCGTCCAAACTTGAGCTTACATTCAACCTTGACATTGACCAGATGAATGAGGAGGGATACACACCGCTCTACAAGGCAGCTTTAGAAGGTCATCTCGAAGATGTCGACGATCTCATTACACTGGGAGCAAACCCAAGTAAACCAAGTAAGGGTGGACTCCGTCCTCTTCATGCAGCGGCTCACGAAGGACATGCACACATCGTTGACTTCCTCATCCTGCAGGGAGCAGACGTGAATGTCGGGTGTGAACGGGGTACGAGACCTCTTCATACAGCAGCTGCAAAATGTTATCTTGACATCTTAGAGAGCTTGGTTGCAGAAGAAACTAATGTGAACATGGAAGATCACACAGGAAGGACACCATTCAATGCTGCCGTTCAAGAGGGCCATCTAGAAGCCGCCAAATATCTCATGACTGAAGGTGCGAAGCTGAACAGATATGATGGAATGACCCCACTCTATGCTGCAGCTCAATTTGGTCATTTAGATATCGTCAAATTCTTCATTTCCAAAGGAGCTGATGTAGACGAAGAACACGACAAAGGGATGATTCCTCTCCATGGTGCATCTTCTAGAGGCCACTTAGAAGTCATGGAATATCTCATTCAGCAAGGTTCCGATCTTAACAAGGATGATGCCAAGGGTTGGACACCATTCAATGCTGCCGTTCAAAAGGGCCATCATGAAGCTGTCAAATATCTCATAACTAAAGGAGCGAAGCAGAACAAATATGATGGTAAGACTCCACTCTATGCTGCAGCTCAATTTGGTCATTTAGATATCGTCAAATTCTTGATATCTAATGGTGCTGATGTAAACGAAGAACACGACAAAGGGATGATTCCTCTCCATGGTGCAGCTTCTGGAGGCCACTTAGAAGTCATGGAATATCTCATTCAGCAAGGATCCGATCTTAACCAGGGTGATGCCAAAGGTTGGACACCATTCAATGCTGCCGTTCAAAAGGGCCATCTTGAAGCTGTCAAATATCTCATGACTGAGGGAGCGAAGCAGAACAGATATGATGGTAAGACCCCACTCTATGCTGCAGCTCAATTTGGTCATTTAGATATGGTCAAATTCTTGATATCCAAAGGAGCTGATGTAAACGAAGAACACGACAAAGGGATGATTCCTCTCCATGGTGCATCTTCTAGAGGCCACCTTGAAGTCATGGAATATCTCATTCAGCAAGGATCTGATGTGAACAAAGCAGATGCCGAGGGTTGGACACCATTCAATGCTGCCGTTCAAGAGGGCCACATAGAAGCCGTAAAATATCTCATGACTAAAGGAGCGAAGCAGAACACATACGATGGCATGACCCCACTCTATGCTGCAGCTCAATTTGGTCATTTAGATATCGTCAAATTCTTCGTTTCCAAAGGAGCTGATGTAGACGAAGAACACGACAAAGGGATGATTCCTCTCCATGGTGCATCTTCTAGAGGCCACTTAGAAGTCATGGAATGTCTCATTCAGCAAGGATCCGATCTTAACAAGGGAGATGCCAAGGGTTGGACACCATTCAATGCTGCTGTTCAAAATGTCCATCTTGAAGCTGTCAAATATCTCATAACTAAAGGAGCGAAGCAGAACAGATATGATGGTCAGACCCCACTCTATGCTGCAGCTCTATTTGATCATTTAGATATCGTCAAATTCTTGATATGTAATGGCGCTGATGTGAACGAAGAAGATGACGAAGGGATGATTCCTCTCCACGGAGCAGCTTCTGGAGGCCACTTAGAAGTCATGGAATATCTCATTCAGCAAGGATCTGATGTGAACAAAGCAGATGCCGAGGGTTGGACACCATTCAATGCTGCCGTTCAAGAGGGCCACATAGAAGCCGTAAAATATCTCATGACTAAAGGAGCGAAGCAGAACACATACGATGGCATGACCCCACTCTATTTTGCAGCACAATCTGGTCATCTAGACATCGTCAAATTCGTCATAGACAAAGGAGGTGATGTGAACGAAGTAGATGATGAAGGGATGACTCCTCTCCACGGTGCTGCTACTCGCGGCCACATAGAGGTCATGAAATATCTCATTCAGCAAGGATCTGATATGGACAAGGCAGACGTCAAAGGTTGGAAACTATTCAATGCTGCCGTTCAAGAGGGCCATCTAGAAGCCGCCAAATATCTCATGACTGAAGGTGCGAAGCAGAACAGATATGATGGGATGACCCCACTCTATGCTGCAGCTCAATTTGGTCATTTAGATATCGTCAAATTCTTGATATCTAATGGTGCTGATGTAAACGAAGAAACCGACAAAGGGATGATTCCTCTCCATGGAGCAGCTTTTGGAGGCCACTTAGAAGTCATGGAATATCTCATTCAGCAAGGATCCGATCTTAACAAGAGTGATGCCAAGGGTTGGACACCATTCAATGCTGCCGTTCAAAAGGGCCATCTAGAAGCCGCCAAATATCTCATGACTGAAGGTGCGAAGCAGAACAGATATGATGGAATGACCCCACTCTATGCTGCAGCTCAATTTGGTCATTTAGATATCGTCAAATTCCTCATTTCCAAAGGAGCTGATGTAGACGAAGAACACGACAAAGGGATGATTCCTCTCCATGGTGCAGCTTCTAGAGGCCACCTAGAAGTCATGGAATATCTCATCCAGCAAGGATCCGATCTTAACAAGGGTGAAGCCAAGGGTTGGACACCATTCAATGCTGCCGTTCAAAAGGGACATCTTGAAGCTGTCAAATATCTCATGACTGAAGGAGCGAAGCAGAACAGATATGATGGTAAGAACCCACTCTATGCTGCAGCTCTATTTGGTCATTTAGATATCGTCAAATTCTTCGTTTCCAAAGGAGCTGATGTAGACGAAGAACACGACAAAGGGATGATTCCTCTCCATGGTGCATCTTCTAGAGGCCACTTAGAAGTCATGGAATATCTCATTCAGCAAGGATCCGATCTTAACAAGGGTGATGCCAAGGGTTGGACACCATTCAATGCTGCCGTTCAAAAGGGCCATCATGAAGCTGTCAAATATCTCATAACTAAAGGAGCGAAGCAGAACAAATATGATGGTAAGACCCCACTCTATGCTGCAGCTCAATTTGGTCATTTAGATATCGTCAAATTCTTGATATCTAATGGTGCTGATGTAAACGAAGAACACGACAAAGGGATGATTCCTCTCCATGGTGCAGCTTCTGGAGGCCACTTAGAAGTCATGGAATATCTCATTCAGCAAGGATCCGATCTTAACCAGGGTGATGCCAAAGGTTGGACACCATTCAATGCTGCCGTTCAAAAGGGCCATCTTGAAGCTGTCAAATATCTCATGACTGAGGGAGCGAAGCAGAACAGATATGATGGTAAGACCCCACTCTATGCTGCAGCTCAATTTGGTCATTTAGATATGGTCAAATTCTTGATATCCAAAGGAGCTGATGTAAACGAAGAACACGACAAAGGGATGATTCCTCTCCATGGTGCATCTTCTAGAGGCCACCTTGAAGTCATGGAATATCTCATTCAGCAAGGATCTGATGTGAACAAAGCAGATGCCGAGGGTTGGACACCATTCAATGCTGCCGTTCAAGAGGGCCACATAGAAGCCATAAAATATCTCATGACTAAAGGAGCGAAGCAGAACACATACGATGGCATGACCCCACTCTATGCTGCAGCTCAATTTGGTCATTTAGATATCGTCAAATTCTTCGTTTCCAAAGGAGCTGATGTAGACGAAGAACACGACAAAGGGATGATTCCTCTCCATGGTGCATCTTCTAGAGGCCACTTAGAAGTCATGGAATGTCTCATTCAGCAAGGATCCGATCTTAACAAGGGAGATGCCAAGGGTTGGACACCATTCAATGCTGCTGTTCAAAATGTCCATCTTGAAGCTGTCAAATATCTCATAACTAAAGGAGCGAAGCAGAACAGATATGATGGTCAGACCCCACTCTATGCTGCAGCTCTATTTGGTCATTTAGATATCGTCAAATTCTTGATATGTAATGGCGCTGATGTGAACGAAGAAGATGACGAAGGGATGATTCCTCTCCACGGAGCAGCTTCTGGAGGCCACTTAGAAGTCATGGAATATCTCATTCAGCAAGGATCTGATGTGAACAAAGCAGATGCCGAGGGTTGGACACCATTCAATGCTGCTGTTGGCAATGGCCATCTTGAAGCTGTCCGATACCTCATGACTAAAGGAGCGACGCAGAACAGGTTTGATGCAATGACCCCACTCTATGCCGCAACACAATCTGGTCGTTTAGACATCGTCAAATTCTTCATATCAAATGGCGCTGATGTGAACGAAGAAGATGACAAAGGGATGATTCCTCTCCACGGAGCAGCTATTGGCGGTAACATAGAACTCATGGAATATCTCATTCAGCATGGATCTTATTTGAACAAGAATGATTACACTGGGTGGACGCCATTACATGCTGCAGTCAGTAACGGCCATCTAGAAATTGTCAAAGTTCTATTGGCCAAAGGAGTTCAGGGTACTATGTTTGAAGGATTGACCCTCCTTTACATTGCAACACAGTATGAACTTGTTAATGTGGTAAAATTCCTTGTCTCCAGTGGATATGATGTGAACGAAAGAAATGAATGCGGCAAGTCCCCTCTTCATGCAGCATGTTACAATGGTAACATGGATATCGCGAAATTTCTCCTTCACCACAACGCCAATGTCAATGAACAAGATCATGATGGATGGACACCACTCGAAGCCGCTGCACAAGAAGGACATCGAGATATAGAAGATTACCTTTTATTGAATGGAGCAGATATGACAGCAAGGGACATAGATGGTTTGACGCCACTCCTGGCTGCAGTAATCGCAGGTCAAACACCAGTAATAGAATGCATCCCATCGCGTATCGATGGCCTGGATGAAGAAGAAACAGGAGATCCACGAACCGGTAGTCACCAGAATATCATCACAAGCGGATTTGTGACGGTAACAATGCAAAGTGCAGACACACATGTACGTACAGGACAGTTAGCATCTCAGGTAGACAATGCAGAGGTGGGGAATGACCGCACTCCAGCTGATATTACGAAGAGAGGAGCCGGTGGACTCTCCTTGCAGAATCTGTCCACAAGGACCCATGATGATGATAAAGATGCAACTCATCCAAACGTAAATGAACACTTCTCCCCACGTAGAGGTGACCCGGATCAGGAAGATATAGGAGATCCACTATCGGAGAGCCACCACTATGGTGCTAAACATCTCACCACAAAAGGTTATGTGAAGAAGAAGAAGGGTATACAAATTAAGGAAGTAGACACAAAGTCACGTACAGGACAGTTAGCATATCGGGTAGACTATACAGAGGAGGGGAATGACTGCACTCAAGCTGATAGTGCAAAGAGTGTAGCCGATGAACTCTCTTTGAAGAATCTTTCAACAAGGACCCTTGATGATGAAAAAAGTGGAAATGGGGAACATAATCCTTTCATTCATGCTAAATTGAAATATCCTGACAAAGGTGAACAAGATCCGATGTTAGATCAGATAGAAGCAATACAGAGCCCTGGAACAATGAAAAGAGACACAACAACAAATGGCACAGACCGCTCTTCCCCGCATGGACCTGAGACATGGCAATATAGCGAATTCGATCCACCCTATCTACAAACCATTGAGACTGATGGTCACCCGTCTGAAAAACCGGAATCCAGATGTCACTCACTAATTTATGGAAACAGGGAAATGAGAGTGAGTGGTTATTAAATGTTTAAGTTTTCTCTTAACAAAGCATACATTTGGTTGAAACTTTGGATAGATATGAAAATGGCAAATACAGATATGTTTGGAAGCAACCATTCAGCCAATTATAATGTAATCATAGAGAATGAGAAACAAAGATTCATAGAAAGCAAAGTAAATAACCTTTTATAAATAGCCCTATAGTAAAGGTTCCGTAATATATTTTGGTTCCAACACACCTGTGCATGAGAAAAGGCCTCAAAATATAACAATAGGGAATTAAATATAATACATGCAATACTATTTTACACATTGGTCAGTTATTTCTCTTGTAAGAAACAACAACGTGTTCATTCTTTGCATGTATTTTGCGATTTGTCTTACTCGCTGTTTTGTCTAATTCCTCCTAGAGGATCCGTGCTAACAAAAACCAATTTTCTGCATTATGTCTTCTTGGATCATATCATTTTACTGCATTCTAATCTTACATTTTCTATGATGTAATCCATTTTCCCTTCAGGAATCTCCTTCACCGATGAATGCTGGAGATGATCTATCAATCAAAGAACCATTAGAGATTGAGAGGTACTAGTCACTTTCCGTTTCTTTATTATAAGGAAACCTTCTTATTCGTAGGACAAGATGTATTTAGTACATACATTTCGCTCCACGATTAATTGCGTCCTTAGTAACAACAGTTTCCTTCATGTTTATTGAATATTCAGAATTATTTTGTATATTCTTCATAATGTATATGAATAATCGTTTACGGTAAAAAAAATCATTATGTACGTAAACTGTATGACATTACCTATTAGCAGAATTAGAGCACTTTAAGATTTATTACCTACCTGGGCTTGAACCTTAAGAAGCTAGAGAACAGTGAAGCAAGACCTGATGTGGTACCCATGGTACTGTTGAATTCGATATTTTAAATCTAGGTATTTTTCATTGTAAGTCTTTTTTATAAACATTCATACGTACATTTGTATATTACAGAGATTTTTGGTTAATGGGCTATATATATTTAACATCATAGTAGTACACCCTACTATAAAGGACCAATGTGGTTTCTCCTTACATCAGCTAACTGTAATTTCTACAAATAAATTCAACAGCTTTCCTAAACACCCACCCGCTGTCGTTCACCAAAAATTGGATGATGGAAACCCTCTCTCCGACCATGGAACCTCCTCAAACACAGTTTGGGAAATCAGGGTAAGAGAAAAGTATTGCCTCAATTTAGTATGCTTAAATAAATAGCTGTCGAAGCTTATGATAAAATGGAACAATGTTCTGCATCTGTGCATAACAATACTTGTATGGGGGCTTTTTTAAAAGGACACTACAAGAATGTTTAGATTATATTTGGGAGGAAGCGTCGATCATTAACCCTTATAAGTAGTTTTAAACGTCAGCATTAAATGGTGCCCCCCACTCTGTATTGTTCACACCGGATCCTTGCTGAATGAGATATTCCATGACTTTGTCAAGTTTCAACGACGTTCTTTTAAATTCATACCCTTTTGATTTAGAACAAACTTCGGACAGCGGTTTACCGGTGTCCTTCAATCCTGGCCCTCGTACAAACTTTCCTGCAGGTGAGTATTGCTTTGGCCATCATTCTTGCAGGAAGTCCAGTTCTAGTTGCAGGGAGCGGTATCACCGAACGAGTCACATTACAAGCAGGTAAACCGGGTGTGGTCCCATTCCATCTCCCATTGTCACCTATAGGTACACCCCAGACTGTTCCATATTACACACTTCGATTCGAATCTCAGCCTCGCCCATTCTGCATTAACGGAGAAGCTGATATCAAGGGCTTTAAAAACTCATCCCAGTTGCGAAGGTTTACCACCTCAGTCACAGGTTTAGACACCTCTCCTTGTGTGAATCTAATGATAGATAACGTTGATAGTCTAGATGAGGATGGGTACTTATTAACGGCAGTCTGGCATAGTTTTGAGAACGTTAGGTATGAAACTATGAAGAAGGAGATTGATGTACAATTCCCACCGGGACCTGCAAAGTGCTTCATCACCTTAAGTAAAAATGTTGATTATCCATATGAAATACACTGTCGAGCCACCACTGGAAGCGCTACAACCACTCTATCATGTTACCAGAATGATCGGAAGATTGACATCAGGGGTGATATTACAGATAATGGGCTAATTACCAGTGGTATATTCTGGCTGCTCGATTACACTCATTTTTCTTGTTGCTCACATGATGTAACCTTGCATGTGAATGTTTCAACATGCAATGACTTCGAGTGGCCACCTATCAAAGAAACTACGAGACAGGCTGTTAATACTGTACCTACATCGGTTACCACTCCCACACCCCAAATAGAATCCCATACAGAATCAGGGGCTTGTAGGCAATTCATGCTTCCTTCTCTGTGGCACTTCACATACCTGTTCATAAACCTCCTCGACTTTGTTACAATGTACTAGACACAAAATCTTAATACGTAATATCACTTTCTTGTTTAAAGGATAGTGTTATACATAAAAATAAATGCAAAAATATATCATCGTTCAAATTCGAATTTCTTTAATGTATATAATGTTCAATGTTTTTATTATTTCATAATTGATTCTAAAATTATTGCATAACTGTTTTTATTTGAAAGAAAATATCAATATGGCCTACTTTTGATTTCGTCGTTATTCGAATGTATTCTTAGTTTAACAGTCTATAGTCTGCTATAGTTGAATAATTGAGGGAAAATCTTTGATAATCGATGTCATTCTATTTTATCACCATGTCGATTTGGCATAGACTATATAAGTAGTTTGCTATCACCCAGCCATTTCTGACCCCAATTTTAGAATGAAATTGAACCAAGAGGTTCTCATCACCAATCATGTAAATGTTAATTTGGAGTATGATTTCATGTTTTAGATTTTATTTTGCATTTTCCAATTTCATGTTGAGCCGGGTGTTACATTCTGAGGTTGAATAACTTGATATAGAATAGTGAATGCGTTAATGCAGTGTTAACGCCTTTCTAGCTTCAAATCGGCGATGTATAGTTATTTATCGCTGTGTCAGTAGAGGTAAATATGAGGTTGGTTTCTAACTGTTATATTGATTCATGAATTAGCAATAATTTTTCTGCCAGAACTAATCCAGGAATAAAGACCCTCATGCAATCTACAACTTAACCTCGTATCTACTTAGGTATCAACTCTTTGATAATTAGTCATCGCTCTGTTTGCAAAGATTCTGCTGAACTTTGGAACAAACTGCATTTACATGTCAAAAATTGCCAGACTGTCAACCAATTCAAAAGTTGTCTAAAGACAAATATTATTCAAAATTGCTTTTGATGATTAATTTACTCAATTTCATATGTATTGTAATTTGTGGGATTGTTTGTTATTTTTTGTTTTGTTTATAATGGAATTGTTTATCATTGTATTTTGCTTGACATAGCGCTTAGAGCCTTCGGTGGAAAGCGCTTTATAAGCACCGTTCTTCTTCTTCTTAGTATTATTATTCTCATGGAAATAAGAGATGTTCAACAGGGACGCATGTTCCATTGTCGAAGTCATAGTACATGTATATTTTGTAATGCACGGACAGACTTGTTGCTTGATCAATTAACTTCTAAAAATATTTTACATTTATGTCTACACTTCCTAATGTTTTTTATATTGATATACATGTGCTTACAGAACGACTCGCAATTAAATTAATATGTGTATTATAGGCCATTCCCAACACCATCCATGCACAATAGAGAAATAGTGCTTCATTGCAGAATATGATGTAATGTTAGCTCCTTATTGCATGATGTTATGGTAGTGTCTATCACATGTAAATTTTATAATTTGTGAATTTGTGCATCCCAGAGCTGGAATACGTTGAACAATGAAAAATTGGAACACTATAAACACGTAAACATTACAAGTTTCTTTGGATTTTCTTTGTAAATATATACAAATGTAAACGTGATTTTAAAAACATGCTTTGCACTCGTTTAACTTTTGTTTTTGTGTGTATGCTGGAAGTCAAGTGCACTAATTCAAATTTGTATATACGCCAAAGTTTAACTAAAGCATCTTCATTACGATATGCATTTTGCATTTTATTTTACCCAAAAAAAACAACACAATCTTATAACATATATAGCTCAACGCAATTCATTGATTTATTTGTAGGCTTTATATTGTAAATAAGTTTCATTTTCATATTGCAAATATGTGTTAGTTTTGAGAAAAAAATATGCGAGTTTTATATTGAAATATTGCATTTACACTACATGTAGTTCGGGGCACGCGTGCTTCGATTTTCGAAGCCTTATGGAGGAATGACGTGATCAAAATTGAGTTTTAAGAATGTACATCAGTGGCCAATCTTGTTTTACCGCTGTCCTGTAAAAGATATCGAATATTTTACAATTTGATCTTATTCAGAAAATACAATATTTTTGTGTCATTGTACCACAAATATGGCTATTTTTGCCGAAAAGATATGGATCAGATTAGAACCAATAGGTACAATAATGCAGATGATTGTTCTTCAATCAATGAAAGAAGATTATTTCCCACCTCTTTCGTGTGACTTTTGAGGAACACATGTGTCTTGTGCACTTAGCTTTAAGTGCTTGAAAACCTGCGCTTTCTCGCTTTTCTCTAATATAAATGTTTTTCAAACCATGATATTAATGAAATGATATATACCCATGTAGGAAATATAATATTGTTTTACAGTGTTGTGATTTGTTGTAGTATGAACAAACCCATATAAACAGGGCACAAATATCACAAATGTAATTGTACAGAAGAGTATGCATACTATATTAGTTTGCATAATGTACAGTAATCTACGAATGTCATAGTAAATTCCTTTAAAAAAAAATCTTTGTGTATATAAAAAACAGAACATCTATGCGTATATTGATGACCACATATCGAAAGTTTCAAGTCTTATTAACGAAATTATCACTGTTGTATATGTATATCACCCCATTATTTTACTCAATATCATGATCATGATAATAAAAGATCAACCTCTTTTGTATTGGGTTTAGAGTAAACGCTTATATTATGCACCTTATCAAATTATATTTGACATTCATACCGACCTACTGCTCATATTACAGAAGGATGGTGGTCATAAATGGTCTGATTTTGCTAAGTAAGAATAGCAGTAAAACTTTTGAAGACCGTTTATTTCGATCTATATATTTATGCTCGTGAAATAATGATGCGAAAACAACATCAGAAGACCAGCCATGAAGAGGAGTCACACAATAATAACAATAATTGAATATTTCACACGATTATGTATATATATATATTATCCTGATTCATGGCTATACAATATATGTACCTATATATAATTTACAGGAATACAATAAATGTAGCAATGGTACAAACATGTATCAAAGAAGTAAATTCCTAATGTATTTGATAATTTTGGAATCCATCTTCCTTTGTAAATAACTTTATCACTATACAATATATGTATAAGTTTACTTTGTGTTTCAGTGTTCTTCTATATAAACGTGATTTTAAAAAGAACATTGAAGATATATAAAAGATGTTGAGAATGACTATATAACCTTTCTCTGCTTTCTTATATGATTAGTATGCTTCCATGCATCTCAGTGAGTTATGTTATAATTAACATAAGTTAAAAATCGCTTCAAATCACCAACAGCAAGCGAAATTTTAAGCTGTTTGTTATGCACTAACCATGCTATCCTCTCATGAATGTCAATAGTTGTGTGCCCTTTGTCTTTAAAAGCTTGACAATATTTGCTGTCTTGCTTTTCTCTGGATTAAAGAACTTTTTCAAACTTTGGCAATGACATAATTATGTACCAATGTATGAAGTTATATATTGTTTGACAGTGTTGTGTTTTATTGTAGTAGAGTGTAATCCATATTTAAAGGGCATACATATCAGAAGTGTAAATATAAAACAAGAAAGAAGGGACGAGATAAACAGATAACAACTCAACGTATACATGTAATTATATCCAATATAGTCTGTTTAATAGCGTCTTTGTAGAGGTTTATGGGCTTTACTTTGCGTGATACTGGAATGGTAATAGTAATAAAGTTTTTCTTCACACATTGTTAATCATACGATATGAGATTTGGAAGGAGTATTGATAGTATTCAGGGGTAATAGCTAATGCTGTATAGTGTTCATTGATACATGTATATCGTTAATGAATTATTCACAATTTGTAGCACATCGATAAAGTAAATTGATTCACAAAGATTGTCATGTACAACAACAGAACCTCTTTGCGTATTTTGAATAATGAATTACGTAAGTTTGAAATCGTAGTAACAAAATGATTGATGTTGTATACATGTATATCGTTAATGAATTTTTTACAATTGTAATGCATAGTCTACAATATTTTGCTTACTTTGGAGTTTTTCTAAATTGAAATTTGATATCTAGTGTATTGTTGAGTATGATATACATATTGTGCAGTTATCTATGAAAATCATAGTAAATTGATTCACAAAGATTGTCATGTATATCAACAGAACCTCTCTGCGTTTTTTAATAATGAATTACGAAAGTTTGATATCTTAGTAACACAATGATTAATGTTGTATACATGTATATGACTCATTACTTTACTCAATTTTATAATCATGATGATCAAAGGCTAACCTTTTTGTATTCAGTGGTGGATTATATACTTAGATTTCAAGTTATCTGTGACGTTCATACCGACGTACTTGCTCATATTACAAAAGTATGTTGGTAACAAAGGGTCTAACTATCCTATTAAAGAATAGCCGAAAAACTGTTATACAGCAAAATACCAGCCATGGTGAGTAGAGACAAACTAAAAACCGATAATTGAATAATTAACACAATTATGTATGTACATATTTTGATTTATGGCTATACAATATAAGTTGCCTATATATAATTTACAGATATCCAATGAAGGTAACAATGGTACTTATATGTATAAAAGAAGTAAACTCCAAATGTATTTTATCATTTTGCAAACGAGAGAAATTTGTAAAATTGTCTTCCTTTGTAAATAATTGTATCGCTTTACAATATATCGTATAAGTTTACTTAGTCTTCCAGTGTTCTTCTATTCAAATGTGAATGTTTTTTTTAAACTCTGAATAGATTTTACAGAATGTACATATAACTTTACATCTCAGTGGGTTGTTATACTTTAAATAGTGATTAACGTCGCTTCAATACAACATCAACAACAACAACAACCAAACTCCATAAGCGTGTTATTATGTAATATAAACAATGCTATACTCTCATGAATTGCAATAGTTTTTTTTCACTTCGTTTTTAAAAGCTTGAACAAATCTGCTTCCTCGCTTTTCTGTAGGATAAAGAACGTTTTCAAACTATGATAATGACATAATTATGTACCCATGCATGAAGTTATATATTGTTTGACAGTGTTGTGTTTTCTTGTAGTAGAGTGTAATCCATATTAAAGGACACACATATCAGAAGTGTAAATATAAAAACAAGAAAGACAGGACAAGCGAAACAGATAACAACTCAACGCATACATGTAGTTATATCCAATACAGTCTGTTTAATAGCGTCTTCGTAGAGGTTTATGGGCTTTACTTTGCATGATACTGGAATGGTAATAGTAATAGAGATTTTCTTCACATATTGTTAATCATACGATATGAAACTTGGAAGGAGTGTTGATAGTATTCGGGCGTAATATATAATACTGTATATTGTTCATTGATAAATGTATATCGTTAATGAATTATTTACAATTTGTTATACATACAATATTTTACCTAATTTTGACTTTTTTCTAAATTTAATTTTGATATATAGTGTATTGTTAAAAGATGCGTATTGTGCAGTTATCTATGAAAATCTTAGTAAATTGATTCACAAAGATTGTCATGTATAACAACAGAACCTCTTTGCGTATTTTGAATAGTAAACTACGAAAGTTTGAAGTCTTAGCACAAAATCGTTAACAAATATCACTCAGTAGTTCACATAAAAGTATAATCATGATAATTAAAAGCTCAACCTTTGGTACCAATGGTTTATGTACGTACACAATAAGTAAATCATTTTAAAACAATATTATCACTATATCATATATCCTGTAGGTTCGCTCAGTGTTTCAGTATTCTTCTATCCAAAACATTAATAGTTAATTTTCTTCAAACATTAAATGGATACTAACCAATATGCTTCTATATGTTTAAGCAGGTTATAATAACAAACGTATCAATATTTATAGTATGCAAGGTGGACCGCATATATGGATTCTATGAAATTTGA